TCGCATAAAAACATTAATATTTGTTTTATTAAATCAATGCTTTGAATATTAGTTAATGAAAGTAATATTGATTAATAAGTATTAAAACTGATTTATTGCTTATTAATTATATAATGAAATTAAATATAAATTTATTTTAATTAAGGATTTAATCGTAAGTTTAAGCGGAGGGGGAGTCGGGGGACAGATATTTGGTATGTATTATAGGCACGTATTTAATGAACAATCGATTGATTATTGTTTATAAAATTGTTCACAAAAAGGGATGAAAATTGTTTTCAAACATTAATAACTGGTTTTCATTAAGAAATCAATCATTTGATAAATTATACACAAATTGTTGACCAAAAGTGTGGTAACAATGGATGCGAGACAACGATTGAATCAATTGAGAAGATTTAAGGCGAAGACACGGCTCGGGAGGAATGGGAGACAAGTGGTGAGAGATTTGCGGCAAAAGATCTCCAATGATAATCGATTTGGTGGTCAGAGCGGGAAGCGATCGCTCGTCAGTCCACGGCTTAAGGCATACCAATCGCAGACTCGACCACAAGTGTCACAAGTATTGCCATTTATTGCCATTAATTGATTATACGGTTTATATGTTTTGCTTATGTCCTGTCAATTGATCTAAAGTCTGGCAAAAGAGTCACTTTAGTTGGCGACCAACGAATGCCAAGAGTTTCTGTCAATTTGTCTCAACTTAGAGACAATTCTGGCATTTCGGTCAATACAAGGACCACAACCAGAACCAGAACTGAACCCAAACAACAGAGACAGACAACCGTGTCGTCCACTCAACCCATTATTATGCCTCAGGTTTGCCCAAAAAGGAGATACTGTAATAGATTTACTCAATATTAATGTATGGTTGCATCCAATGAACAGATGGTTCAGTTGATGCCGCAGACATCGGGCGTCGGCAGATATAGCACGCCTTCCTCGACACCCGTCCGTCACAATCCATATTTGGCCGACGACTCAAAGAACACAGTTTTGGTTTCAAATCTAAACCCAAGCATTACTATTGAAGACATAAATGTAAACAATTAGCACTCATTTAACGGACATATCATTGAAATGACATTGAATTACAGGAACTGTTTGGCGAAATCGGACCAATGGTTCGCACCTCACGAGTGAACAGTTCAATGGTATTCATTGTATACGAGGACTCAATGAGCGCTAAGAATGCGTGTCAGACATATCACAACCGACTCTTAGACGGTCTCCCCATGAGTTGTAGTATACTTTCCCAATCGGTCAATGAGTTTGAAGTCGATTCCCAGCCGACCTTCCGGTCCACGCCTTACCGACTGGACAATACATCGGATCTATTGGCCGCACAGTTGCGGCAAATCAATGAAATACAACCCATAAGTAACCGCTTCACTGCCGGCCAAACTCTCGGAACCAATCGTCGGCCCAATAGATCACAATTCAGATACAATTAATTTGCAAACATCTAAACCATTGATTCAAAGATCTTGTAAATTAAAACAATTCTATAATTCATTAAAAAGCAAATGATTTATTCGTAAATAAAAATGAGTTTTAAATATAATAATAAAATGTATATTTTTTTGTCGATAAAAATGAGTAGATTTTTGAGACAAATGTTGCTGTGATTTGAGACTAGGAAACAGTACAGAACCTGTTTTTGTGTTCATTGTTATGACTTCTTCTGTGGCCAGCGATGGCTGGATTGGTGGCAGAGTTGGTATTGTAAGCAATGGATGTCGAAGACATGGCTTTTGTTAGATTATCACAAGAGAAGAATGCTTTGGCTTTCTTTGCAATTGTCTTCTTTTCTTTCGGTGATCTGTACTGTTGTCGCGATGGCCTCCAAGACATGGTGTAGTTTGGAAGCGATGAAAACGATATGAGACATGATTTAAGTGTTTTGGGAAGCGGTAGACGCTCTATGCTATACACTGTTGTCCGCGCGACTATCGCTCGACAACACAGCTCTTGCAGTGACAGAACTGATGGTTAAAACACACATTAATTAACATAAAAACTAACTTAATATACAGTAAAGGAAGACAAACCCGTATTCATTCTCATCAGGTTTTCCATACCATTGCGTTGTAATGCCATTCGAGACAACTGTTAGATCATTACAAACCAAATCATTAGATCCATTGACAACAATGTGGGAATTGTATTGAATGTGTGGATCAATTAAAAGCATACCTCAGCGCAAGACTCTCTGATGTTGTAATTACAGAGAGGACTGACTTCGAAGAATGTCATGCAGTGTTTGTGAGCATATGTTTCGGCCGTATATTCACTCACTTGTCGTCTAAACGCCAAATGAAGTCGATTTCCGACCAGTATTTTAGGCACTCCTGGGATGTGCTGTTATAATGAGATACGGATTCGCATATAATTAGACATAAGACACACAAAGACAACATTGAATGGCTATTGAGAGCGCAAATACCTCTTCGATCTGATTGAGCCATCGGTTGAGACCAGCGAATGACCACTTATTGGTGATATCGTAGACCAGAATCACTCCCTGAGCGCCCCTCGAGTATGACCTGAAGATTGTCTCAAACCTTCCCTGACCTGAAGTGTCCCACACCTGGAGTCGGATCCGTTTGCCGTCGAGCAGTATATTTGTGGTCTTATAGCCGACTCCCGGACACCGACCGAAGGAGGGCTCGTCTGGAGTGTTGTCTTCGTCTAAGTTGTTGAGTATCTCATCCTTTCCGACGTCTGAATCGCCGACTAATAGGAATTTAAGGACATAATCGTATGTCTTAGAAGACACCATACGTTGACACGACATCACCGACGGATCCATTCAATCGACAACCAAATAGATGTCAATACAAATCAACACAAAATGTCATTTCGTTTGACAATCAAAACAAAATAAGTGTTCAATTGTTTTGGGCATCAAATCACTGATCACTGAAACAACTGTTTGTTGTGTAACTCGTGTTGGCTTTGGATTGGATTTTGTAATTATTATTGGCTTTTATTGAATCACTTTTACGTCAAATTCAAGTCAATATCTAATGAAATGAATGGCAAAAGAAATGATTACTTAAAACACATCTGAATATGAAATACGAAAACAAAATTCAATTCAATTGTAAATAAAATGACGAATCGATTGTTGAATACATTTATTATACACTCAATAGAGGAGACAATCAATCAAAACACACAGCGTTTGGCCTATACTTAGAGATGGCACTCATGTTCCCCATTATATTCCCTTTACATTCCCTGCAATGTATTCATTGCGAAAACTTTATAGCCTTTCAACCAATATATTCACATTAAATACCAGTTTTAAATTAAATACACTTTGATTTTATACAGTGTTTGGCGTTTTTGGCGATTGATTTGCAATTATTATTCAATTATTGGTAGGATTTTATGAATTTATGAAAAACAGAGCAAAACTTATTATACACTTCATAAAAGAGTTCATTGTTTTTTGATGTAAACTCTTATAAACTCTGTGAACATAATTGGGACACAATTTTCAAGTGCATAATTGAATGGGGAATTGAATGGGATGTAGTGTTTGCTCACAAAACTGGATTAAAAGCCATTTAATTAGACAATTAGAGCTTTTAATTGATTATAAAATTTTATTTCTCTATTAATCACTAGAGTTATAACAGTTTATATAATTATACAATCATTAACTCGTTTAATATTTCAATTATAACAGCCAAGTATTGTCTGTAAATTGTCTATTAATAGACTAAAGACTAGTTAATAGACTTTTATTCACAAGTTTTTTATAAAATTATAATTACTTGAAAGAAGAAGAAGAACTAAATGTTAAAAGTAATAAAATAGCAATAAAACAGAAATCGGAGATTAGATATGTTTAGTAATTTTCCAGTGAAAATAAATTGATATTTTTTACATAACATTTTATATTTAGTTAAGAAAGTATTGGAAATTCCAGACTATAATAATTATTGTTTATGAAATTTGAAGGGTTGTCTCAAAATATGATGCATTCAATTGTTAATTGAATCTAAATTTATGTTTCAATTGTGCACTCCTTATGTAATACCGTCTAATTTGAGGCAATTCTGGGCACTCCTACCACTCCTATACACGAATTGTTTTTATACAATCAAATTCTGAGTAAATGTTTAACAAATAAGAATTTTTGTTTGAAAAATGGTTTAACAATATTAAGCGCTTTTCCGATAAAATTGATTACATTTGAAGAAAGTATGTTTTTTCTTTGTTTTTCATTGCAATATTAGTTCCAAGTATTTAATGCATAATTGAAACAAAATTATGGTCAGTATTAGGTGTGTATATGAAAAGTTTATGAGATATGATCAGAAAGTCGTATAGTTTTTGTTTGTGGTTATCTAAAAACATTTTTCTATAATTAGCTAACATTTATACAGTATTAACATAAATATATATTACTATAAGTTAATCCTTGAATTGGGGATATTTTTAAATTCTCTATATTTAAGTGTAATTTGAATGCAATCCAGTATTGTTTGCATATTACTGTTAATGCAGTACAGTATATGAAATCTCTAATAAGTTGCAAATAAGTTGAAGCACTTCATAGGAAATCATAAAACGCTGGCAAAAAATTTATGGTTTAAGAAATGATTTGATGAATGGTTAGAGAGATCTCGCAACCCAATTAAACTTCCCTGTAATCCCTACTGCATTACATTAACAAAATCGCAAAATATATTTCCAAAGTCTTAACGAAGTTTATTTATGTAATATAAAGTGTCTTTCTTTGGAACTTAACCATTAAAATGTAAACTTTTTTTTATAATAATGCTTTTGTCAGTTTTACATTAATGCTAATACTTGTTATTGTGTACGACTTGACTTCAAATAAATACATTATATTTCACAGAAAGAAACCTTGAATTGGATTAAAATGTAAACTTTTTTTTATAATAATGCTTTTGTCAGTTTTACATTAATGCTAATACTTGTTATTGTGTACGACTTGTTTAGATTGTTTTAAAACTTTTGTTGCGTTTTTGATCACTTCTTTAGAAAATGAAGTTTTCTTTGTGTGAAAATTTAGTGTCGGATAAAAGAATTATAAAAATCACACTTTTACTTATTTGCTTACATCTCAATCAAAATTTAGTTGAGTCTCAAAGGTATGCGAATCGAAACAATAGACCGCTCTCTCGGTCTTTGAGCGACTCTAATAAAGACCAAACCATTTTGAAAGTCTATCCGAGTGGTCAATACGGACCACAGGATAAGACATATGAAGACGCGGGGGTCCCGCCGCGGGTCAAGCCTTATATGCCGCCCGATATACCGCCACAAGAAGACACCGTCTATGAGTCTAAGCCAACTCAAGTCGATAGTAAAGCCGATGAAGAGACCAAAAGTTCTGCCGACGATAATATCGTAAGTATTATACATTTATTGATATATTTGAAGTTTATTTAAGTCTAATTTGGGTGACTTTAAGGGCGCGAATGGGTGTATATGTGTGCCGTACTATCAGTGCGACGACGGAAATATAATAACCGACGGCTCGGGTATTATTGATCCGCGAAAGATCAAGCCATCGGAAAAGGAGATTCCATTGGTATATATTATTACTAATTATTATTTAGTATAGAAATGATGAGAAACTAATATAAATAATGGTTTTGATTCAAAACTTTTGAATAATTCAATAGGAGTCCGACTTTAAGCCTCCGTTTTGCGGCACATTTCACGTGTGTTGCTCCGAACCGGAGTCGTCTACAACAAAGCCTTACAGCCATAAGTGTGGGATCAGAAACCCGAGCGGAATCAACAAACGAATCTTAGCGCCCGAACAGAAGGGAGAGTCGGACTTCGGTGAGTGGCCGTGGATGACAGCCGTCCTCAAGAAGGAAAACGGCGCCAATCTATTCCAATGCGGAGGAGTACTCATCGATCGGTTCCATGTCTTGACCGCCGCTCACTGTGTCGTTCAATTCTCGTGAGTTTGGATTCATTATTGAAGTGATTGTTGTTTTTCTGCTCATTTTTGCTAAAAGATTTTTCGCATACAAATTGTCAGTAAGAATAATGATTATAAATTAGTGGTCCGTTTGGGTGAATGGGATACACAAAAGACCACTGAATTCTACGCTCACGAAGACTATAATGTAGTGAATATTGAAATTCACGGCTCGTTCAGGAAAGGGAGTCTTCACAATGACATCGCGTTATTGAGACTCGAGAATGAGGTCCAGTTTAAGCCACATATCGATAGCGTTTGTTTGCCATCACTTGAAGAAAATTACGATTCGTTGCAATGCGTGACCACTGGTTGGGGCAAAAGTGCTTACAGTTAGTATTTAGCATAACTTTTGATTTATTCAAATATTGATTACTTTATTCAACATCACATCATATCGTAATTGTTAACAAATCTATAAAGAAATATTTATTTACTTGTTAGTGACAAATATAATATCGCTATTTGTTTAGTCATTAAAACTATCATGATACAATTGTCATAATTTAATAATCCAATTATTTTCAAAATGATTGTTTTGTGAGCAAAGAAGGCGGCAGTTATTCAAATATACTGAAAGAAGTGAAGGTTCCGGTACTCAATCACTACGAGTGTCAAAAAGCGTTAACTCAAACAAGACTCGGACCCCGATTCAGGTGAACCCACAGAACCAATGCCTGATTTAACAGTAAAATATATTTTTGATAATTTTGCATAAAAATCATGACAGACTTCACAATAGTTTCATGTGTGCCGGGGGTGAGAAGGGGGTCGACAGCTGTAAAGGTGACGGAGGCGGACCACTTGTGAGTTATAATTTGCAATTTTTATTCATTCGCTTGAATTTTCAATATATTATTATTTAAAACCGTTAGGTTTGCTATAGAAGTGACGGCACGTATTCGTTGGCCGGAATAGTATCGTAAGGATTTTTTCATACTTTAACCAAACTTTGATTACAGCGTTCAACATAATTATACATTAGAATAACGAGAGAGAGAGAGAGAGAGAGAGAGAGAGAGAGAGACGGAAATAATTTTTTCAAAATTTTACAAAATATGCATTATAATTTATAAATGTTAAAAATTATTATAAAATATGTTACAATAGATGGGGTATTGACTGTGGAAAGCCAGGAGTTCCCGGAGTTTATGTGAAAGTATCCAAATTTTTGCAATGGATTTCCGAACACACGGGCGAAGCGATTGAAAACTATTGGCCACACAATGAATAATAAATATTCATTATATAATAATTATTGTATACATTATTTTTATTTATTAATTTTACAAAAAAAATAAATTGATCATAATCTTAAATATTAAATTACCAATGATTAAAATTAAATAAACATTCGGGCACAATTTATCATTTTTTCATTAAGAATTTTTCTAAGTTTTAATCTGGTTTTATAAATAACTTTGAATTGTATAATAGATTGCATTTTACAAACAAATAAATTTACAATGATTGAACTTATTTGTACTATGGTATAATATTCATTGTTTTATAATTTATTTACATATGGAAAATTACCATGGTCTAATTAATCACGGTTCACATGTGAATACATACAATTAATTAGTATTTAATTAATTAATAATGGTTGAGAAGTAATGTCGTAAATCCAATCCAAGTAATGCATAACATTAGTGTAAACTCCAGGACTGTCTTTACGCCCACAGCCTATTCCAAAGCTAATGATTCCGATTTCATACCACAAACCATCGAATTCACAGAATAGTCCTCCGCCTCCATCGCCATCACAAGCGTCTTGACCCACATCTCCGCCACAGATGACAGTCTTTGGCAAACTATAGTTAGACCCGAAGTGAGCTCTAAGCGAGTTCTGGCAATGGGAACGGTTCCAGAGGGGAACCAACACTTCCTTCAAAACCGGAGAATAATCGCTTTCTAATTAATTATACAAATAATAATTATATGATATTCTTTAATCTGTATTTCTTGTAATATTTATCATTAATGTCAACAAATTCTTTTCGTAATCCATAAATATTTTTCAATTTGGATACAAATTTTTAACTTAAAAATAATTTTTATCTGTTTTTATTTCTGGTATTTTAAAACAAAACAAAAAAGTCTGATAAAGTTATACTGCATTAAAAATTAGAGTCTATCATAATATGCTTAAAAGTAATTAAAATTATGAACAAATAAATTTTATTAAACAAAACATCTAAAGTCAAGTAAGTATACGATTAGTTATCATTGAAGATAATTATAATTAGTTTTTTAATTCTCATAATCAAATGATCTAATCAACGATCTAAAGACCGCAAAACAAAACAATCAAAACATACTTTCGTTGGTTTTTCCCCAACCGGTTATAAAACACTTTGTATTCATAAGAAGTTCTTTAGTGAATACTTGTTGTCTGGGAAGACATACAATGTTAACATTTGATCTCTTTTTTGTAATTGTCTTCAACTCCAAGAGTGCGATATCATTGAGTAGAGTGTTATTATTGAACTAAAATTCAATACATTTTATTAGCATATGATTTAATGTACAACATTATTGGCTCACATCTTGATGCAGAAGCACTTGTTTTACATCAAACTCTTCGTGTCTTTCGGGCTCTTTAGTGGTCGAGACATCGTATTCACCGACTCTTACTTTCAGTGTTTGCGGTTCTCTTTGTTTCTTATTATTAGAAAATGTTCTCAAAATGAAAATATTTAATTAAAACTTACAAATTGTCGACACAATGAGCGGCTGTCAAAACCCATTTCTCGTCAATCAGAGATCCGCCGCATATATACACATCTTTATTAGCGATCAAAATGGCCACCTGTTTGGCCATTACAAGATATACACAAATAATTAGTTCATTATTAATCATATAATATAATGATTATGGTGGTAACACAGTACATGCCAACCCCATTCGCCAAATTCTGCAAAGTTCTCCCTTCCGGAGTCCAACTCTTTTTTGCCGCACAAAGAGTTTTTGTTTTCAATTTTCAGTGATGTCTCAAAATTGATGGTATCGTTAGAAATACAACAAACTATTCAAATATTACCACAAAAATTAATAAATACATTAACTATAATAAATTAGTTGTTTAATTAATACCTTCATTACTAAATACACAATAGGAGTAGAGCTGTCCTCCAATTGTTAAACACTCCCAATAGTCCATACATTTGCAGAACAATTCTTCTTCTGTTTCGCTGTCTTTACAATTAAAATATTTCCCAAAGAAATCATAAATTAATGATTAATTGTTTTATATGTTACTTATTGAGAGCTTATTAGAGCGAAAATTAATGATTTTCATTCATTTGTTGGTTTTTCTACTTCTCATCCAATTTAATAAATAATACAAAAGTTGGCTTTAATTGCAATTTAGGTCTTCATTGGAAATGCTGTTTATTATTGAGGATAAA